CCTTAGAAGAGGAGATTTCTAGTGCGGAGGGGTACGCGGAACGGATCAGCGTAACTAAGACACGAGTCAACCGCAAGCTGAAAGGCCGAGAATTTCGGAACGACAGGGCGTCCGGTTCGTCGACGCACGGCAGTGGCTCCGGACAAACTCCAGTTGATCACGGCCAACTCCCTACAACAGTAAAGCTTCAGAAGCTTTACTGCTGTGTTTTTTTGCTTTTTTGAATAAAGTAATTATGGCAGCAGCGTTGTTGTCAAACTTATCATTGTACGCTTTTTTGTGAGTAAAGCAACACCCAGTCAACAGGTGGTCTGGTATCATATTACAACAAAACCTGATGTCCCGCCAGAACACCAGATATCTGGTGTGACATCAGAACACCAGATTTCTGGTGTCATACCCACACATCAGATGTCTGGTGTCACAACAGAACACCAGGTTTCTGGTGTCACACCAGAAAACGTCCCAAATCACATCTGTGAAAAAGTCTGGTGTAACATCAAGTCACACCAGCCCTCGAGCTGGTGTATTTTTCACTAGGGAACTGTCACCATTCCTTGTTTCCAAAACACTTGAGTCCATTGTTGGAAAGAACTTCTCTGCCAAGAAAATGACATCCGGAGATCTGCTCGTTGAGATTAAAACCAGTGAACAGAGCACAGCACTCTTATCACTAAATTCAGTTTCTGACTATAAAGTGACAGTCACTCCCCACCGTACATTGAACACAGTGAAAGGTGTGATTTCTGAAGATGACCTCATCGAAAGTACAGAAGATGAACTCGTAGATGGCCTCAGTGACCAAGGAGTTGTCGCTGCAAAGCGAATCTCCCTTCGTCGAGAGGGGCAAGAGATAAAACAAAACATGTCATTTTGACTTTCGAGTTGAGCAAAGTTCCCGAGTCAATCAAGGCTGGGTACTTGAACTGTAGAGTACGGCCATATGTGCCGAACCCCAGGAGATGTTTCCATTGCCAGAGGTTCGGCCATAGTGCCCAGAGCTGCAGGGGCAAGACCACGTGCGCCAAGTGCGGTCAGAACGATCACCCGTCAGACAACTGCGCAAACCCACCCCACTGCGTCAACTGCGGCGAACCACACGCCGCTTACTCCCGTTCTTGTAAAAAATGGAAAGAAGAGAAGGAAGTAATTACCCTCAAAGTAAAAGAAAACATCTCGTTTCCTGAGGCCAGGAAGCGACTTTCCTTTCTACAGAAAGGATCCTTTGCTACGGTAACACGCACAGGGGGCGTGTCACCGAAAACCTCGGTGGGAACCCAGGTCTGTCCCAAAGACCTGGCAGCCCCGCTGACACCCCCTGCCCCCCCAAGGTCGGCTCCACGACCACGTTTGTCGTTGGAGCCAAAAGGTTCACGGTGCCTGAATGGTGCTGCTGCGCCTCTCTTAAAGGAGGCAATGGACACCATGGCACCAAAGGAGGTATCCCCTCCAAAGGCATCAGGGGTGGTGCCTCTCGCACCACCCTCAGTCCTTAAAGAGGGTCCGTCGCAGACCACCTCCTCTAAGGAGCTGGAGCGGACACCCTCGTCGTCTGCTCGCTCTTCAGGCCGAGGCAGGGCTTTGCCCACTCCCGCCTCGACCAGCTCTCGAAAGCCTGGCCAGCTGGACGAGGCATACTCGACCGCAAGCCAGCAGTCAGTAGATGAAATGATGGATGAGAGCATGCCACCCTCTGACGACGACCTGGTCCCTTCAGGTGCTGAGTCATCAGTACCTTTTCAGGTCGTAGAAAAGAAAAAGAAAAATAAACTTCCTAGAATTTTGCCCCCAAAGGGATCGTAGTCCCTTTAGAAATGAATCATAAGCAAGTGTCCACTTAGTTATCTTGCGGTGTCCTAAAGGCCAGTTATAATTTTAATTTTAATTTCCAGTTTTAATCTTCACCATGTCTCTGTTTTTACAGTGGAACTGTCGTGGGCTTTTTTGTAATTATGATGATGTCACTTTTTTTATTAGACGAACACCGCCCTGCTGCCTTCTGTCTGCAGGAGACGCATCTTAAAGAAACTAGGTCAAATGTACTCCGACATTATCACGTGTTTAGACAAGATAGGTTGCACTCTTCTGTGGCGTCTGGTGGTGTTGCTGTAGTTGCCCAGCGCACAACCCCATCTGCCGAAGTGGCTCTCTACACCACGCTCGAGGCTGTGGCTGCCCGAATACTGCTAGATCGGGTGATTACCGTTTGTTCAGTGTACATATCACCGGGATACCAGCTGCAGTACGAAGAGCTAGAGGATCTTGTTAGTCAGCTCCCGGCTCCATACTTAATTTTAGGCGATTTTAATGCACACAACCCATTGTGGGGGAGTGGTAAACGGGATGCTAGAGGAGCACTTGTTGAACGTTTTCTTCTTTCCACGGGACTGTGCTTACTTAACACTAAAGAAGCCACACACTTTAGTTCAGCAACCAGGACTTTTACTTCCATCGACCTTTCTATCTGCCATCCTTCACTATACTCGCTGCTTTCATGGAGGGTCATTCCAAACCCATATGGAAGTGACCATTTTCCAATTATTTTAGAGTTTAACAGTCATCCTGCTGGTCTTCAAACGCGTACCCCTCGTTGGAAGTTTGAGAGGGCTGACTGGGCAACTTTTAGCAGCTCTTCAGTTTTAGCTTGTTCATCACTTGATGATCTTTCCATCGATGATGTCACTCTGCATATCACTCGACACATATTACAGGCCGCAATCATCGCCATTCCCATGACGTCCTCGCATCTCCCAAAAAGGCCGAAGGTGTGGTGGAATAAAGACTGCCGCCAGGCAAAAAAGGAACAGAATCGTGCATGGGGTATCTTTAGGCGTTACCCTACTTCAAGTAATCTGATTGGTTTTAAAAGAAAAAGGGCCCAGGCAAGGTTTATTCGAAGACAAGCCAAGCGGCAAAGCTTTAGAGGATATGCCTCTTCAATCAATAGCAGTGCATCTATAAAGGAAGTTTGGGACCGCGTGCATAAAATTGAGGGTTCATACGGCGCTTTCTCTGTCCCACTCTTGTGCCGGAATGGAATATGTCCTGCAAGCCTTGACGAACAGGCTGACATTCTTGGTGAGCACTTCGAATTTGTTTCTAGTTCCGAACACTATACGCAATCATTTAGGCGGCATAAGCTACATGCAGAAAAAAAGATTGTGCCTACGACCGGTGGTTTGCAAGAGCCTTATAACTCTCTTTTCATGCTGCACGAACTGCAGATGGCTCTCGATTCGTCCGGACAGACTGCCCCTGGACCGGACGGTATCTACTATCAAATGCTTCAGAACCTTCATCCATCTACTCTAGAGCTCATCTTGTATCTTTTCAACCGAGTTTGGGTCGAGGGTCTTTTCCCATTGTCCTGGAAGGCTGCCGTCATTATCCCCCTTTTAAAGCCAGGAAAAGATCCTGCCTGTGCCTCCAGCTTCAGGCCTATAGCACTAACTAGCTGTCTTTCGAAGACATTAGAAAGGATGATCAACAGAAGGCTGATGTTTTATTTGGAGAGTAATAATCTTCTTGACAGGTACCAATGTGGCTTTCGTTCAGGACGATCCACGGTCGACCACCTAGTTCGTTTTGAGACTGTTGTGCGAGAGGCATTTGTAAATAAGCAGCATTGTGTCTCTGTCTTTTTTGACCTGGAAAAGGCATTTGATACAACCTGGCGCCATGGCATACTGCAGGATCTGTTCAGCTTAGGTGTACAGGGCCGAATGTTAAGTGGCATTCAGAGTTATCTTCAAAACCGGACTTTTCGCGTGAAGCTTGGGACAACTTTTTCTAGAGAATTTTCGCAGCAAAATGGAGTACCTCAAGGTGGCGTACTTAGTGTCACTCTTTTTATTGTGAAGATGAACTCAATTGTCCGCGCAATAGCTCCATCTGTTCAGTACTCACTGTACGTCGATGATCTGCAGATTTCTGTATCGTCTTGTAATCCATCCATATGTGAACGTCGGCTCCAGCTCACAATCAACAACTTGGTCAAATGGGCTGATGTCAACGGTTTTAAATTTTCTCCTGAGAAGACCGTCTGTGTGAGTTTCTCACGTCGCCGCGGAGTTTTGCACAAACCTTCTTTGACTATGTATGATGTTCCTATCCCAGTGAAAACTGAACACAAGTTTTTAGGTCTTATATTTGATTCCAAATTGACTTTTGTTTCGCATGTCAAGAGCCTGAAGATGAAATGTTTTAAATCGCTTAATATACTTAAGGTCCTGTCGCATGTGTCCTGGGGTGCTGACCGTCTTTGTCTCTTGCGTATCTATCGGTCGGTCGTTCGATCCCGTCTTGATTACGGTTGTATTGTGTATGGTTCTGCCCGGACATCGGTTCTCAAAATGCTGGACCCTGTTCATCATCAGGGGTTGCGGCTTGCTACCGGTGCTTTTCGCACATCTCCTGTTCTCAGTCTATACGCAGAAGCAAACGAGCTCTCTCTAGAGAAAAGAAGATCTGAACTGGGCTTCACATATTTTATGCGAATTAGATCGATGCCTAACCATCCAACCTTACACTGTATGGAACGAATACGCTACGAGCGAACCTTCAGTAACAAGCCTTCAGTTGTTCCACCTCTCGCCATGAGGGTTCGCAATTCTGCGGAGTCTGTAGGACTGAACGTGTTGCCTCCAGTTGTACAGTGTTTGAGTTCGGCAGCCCCTTGGGACCTAGTTCCCATTCAGTGCGAACTGGAGCTAACGAAATTCAACAAAAAAGACACTCCTCGCGAAGTCCTGAGGCAAGAATTCCTTGAGCTCCAAGTTCAGTATCACGACTTTATAAGCTTTTACACTGATGGTAGTAAAACTGATTCCTCTGTGGGTTGCGCAGTGATCGGGCCTGGGATGCAGCTTGTCCGGAGAATAAATGACAGTGCCTGTAGTTTTACGGCAGAGCTCTATGGCTTACTCCTCGCCACAGATAAGATCCTTTACCAGCTTTACAGCTGGTAAAGGATCCTTTACCAGCTTCATCCTTTACCAGCTTTACAGCTGGTAAAGGATGAAGCTATTCACAAGAGCACAGTCCAGAAGAAAGTAGAAGATTCGCATCCACCATTTTCTTGACTTACGAGTAACGGTGTGATACACTCGCAGCTGATCAAAGCGGTCTACTCTCCGCATGTGCTTCGTGTACTGCACAATTGCTAGTGGACACTTGATGCTTCTCTTTGACGCGTCCTTATTTTTCTTTTCCACTGTTACCGTCTCTGAAGGATCGTGGGCTGTTGTTACTACATTGACTAGCCGCTTGTCTTGCCACTGGATCGCAGCAACATTTCCCTTCACCTTGTAGTTGTGGTCGCCTTCATTGATTTTCTTTTTGTTCTTCACAACATCAGGAAGACCTTTTCTTTGTGCACGGACAGTTCCCACGGCATATATCCCGTGGTCAAACAGATCCTGCAGGAGTTCGGGTGAACTAAAAAAGTTGTCGAACACTACCAGACACTCTGTCCCGACAAGTTAGTTCCTCAGTGAATTTCTTGACTACCCTGTAGCCGAGCCCACCGCCATCGCCCTCTTTGCCCGTGTAGACTTCGAACTGGCTAATAAAGCCAGTTGTAGCATCAGCACGCACCCATACTTTGAACCCACGTTTGATAGGCTTCATGGGCATGTAATGTTTGAATGACTTCCTTCCTTTGAACAGAATCATACTCTCATCAATTGAGTGGTATGCAGATGGCTGGTAGCTAGCTCTGAATGTTTCGGAGAGCTCTGTGATAAGAGGTCGAAGTTTGTGCAAAGGGTCATGGCGGACGTCTCCTTTTCTAGTCGCTGTCTTGTTGTCGTTGGCATGCAGTGATCGAAGAAGCTGAAAAAATCGTGCTCTTGGCATCACTGAGTTAACTGATGCCACTCCAAGGTCGCTGTCCGTGGACCAGTAGTCCCGTCTGTTTTGAAGTTGAAGAATGCCCATTCTGATGAGAATTGCTAGGAATCCTTTCATTTCTTCAACTGTGGTATCCTGCCAAGCTTTCTTTTTGGTTTCTTTGGCGTATATGTTCGTTTGCTCAACGAGTATGGTCAAAGCACCTCCGAACAGGGCATCAAAGATCATTATTGACGTGTGCGTTGGAGGAAGCTTAGGAGTTGCAGGTGTTTGGCAGCTAAAATCGGGAATGTTGCTTCGGTGGGGAAGCGAACGTATTGTCCACTCACTTGCAGTCTCTTCATCATCACTGGCGTCATCACTTGAGTGCACATCATACGCACTCACTTGTGCTGCTCCTTGTGACGCTGTGCTAGTCGGCTGGACTTTCGAACGGGTTACCGCACCCGACGGAACATCGTCGCCGTCTTCTTCTTCCTCGCTGAGACTTGACTGGTTTGAGTCATCAGGCAGGGAGAAAAAGACATCCAATGCCTCGCCCACTGACAAGAACTTCGACATCTGCGGAGAAACAAGCGCAGGTATAATGTTCTGCTAAAGGCCCATAGGGAAATATATTCCCACCACCTATGGTCGGGAAAAACCATTACAGCATTTTATAAACGCAATGAACATGCTTATAAGTGGTTAAAATCGATGCACGGGATGCCGTAGAGACATTAATTAAATATACGCACCTTTAGAAGTTGTTTTTTGCCGTCCTCAGGCTAAAGTTTCTTCGGCAAATTGTACGAGCACAAAGAACTGAAGCCCATGCCACCTTGCCGGGAAAAACCATTCTCGCCGCCTAGTGGATGCACCGAAAACCTTCAAAATAATTTTGTGTATTATGGTAGGCATGTGGCTAGATGGCGCCACAATACAGAAAAAATAAAAAAATTGCATCAGTTGTTAATGGCGCCTTTTTCGAAGTGGGAAGCATATTCCCTTTGGGCTTTTAAGGGTTAAACAAAAGCTTCACAAGTCAATTGTTTACACCGACTCACTTAGTGCTTTACGAGCTCTTGCCAGAGTGGGAAACGATCGCAATCCACTCGTAATAGAAATAAGGAACAGGCTAATTTCAGCCGCAAAACGGAAAAAGAAAATAATACTATGCTGGGTTCCTTCACATGTCGGAATTGCCGGAAATGAGGATGCTGACAGAGCAGCAAGTACTGCTAAGGATCGAGAAGTCGACCTGTGGAAAATACCTTACAGAGACTATAGGCATGTTCTGAAATTTTCCATAAGACGCAAGTGGCAAGAGAAATGGGACCGAGAAATAAACAATAAGTTGCGCGCAGTAAAACCACTACTTCAGGAATGGGAGAGTGCACGTCACCGCGAGCGTTTTTATGAGGTGGTTTTGTGCCGACTGCGAATTGGTCATACCCGTCTAACCCATGGGCATCTTTTGCGTGGGGAGGATGCTCCGGAGTGTGAACACTGCTACATTCCGTTAAGCATCCTACATATCTTACTTGTATGCCCTTTGTATGACCAAGAACGCCACAGACACTTTGCTAAGGTTTACCAAGAGCATACACCATTACATCTCGCCCTTTTACTCAGTGATGAGCCGTTGATTCCACACAAGTGTGTTTTCAACTTTCTTAAGGATATAAGACTCCTGGACCAGCTATAATTTTAATAGTTCATCGTATTCATTGCCACATCTTATGCGCTTGTACTTTCATGATCATTGTTTTATTAAATTACAAGCTACTATAGCTCTTTCTTCTCTTCAACCTTGATTCAGCAATAGTCCTAGTTGTTGGCGCATTATAGCCTTGGTCGCTGCTGCGCCATTAAACCCCAATCAATCAATCAATCAATCAAAATGGAGTCCCACAAGGCGGTGTGCTTAGCGTCACACTTTTTATCGTAAAAATGAATTCAATTTGTCATATTATACCGCCATTTGTTCAGTACTCGCTCTATGTTGATGATGTACAAATTTCAGTCTCATCTTGTAATCCGTCCATCTGTGAACGTCGACTTCAACTTGCAATCAACAATTTGGTCAAATGAGCGGATGTAAATGGTTTTAGGTTTTCTCCTGAGAAAACGGTTTGTGTGTGCTTCTCTCGTCGCCGCGGAATTTTACTTGAGCCTTGTTAACTATGTATGAAGTCCCTATTGCAGTAAAGAACGAACACAAGTTTTTAGGTCTTATATTTGACTCCAAAATGACATTCCACATGTTAAGAGCCTCAAAATGAAATGTGTAAAATCACTTAATATACTAAAGGTCTTGTCGCACGTATCCTGGGGGGCTGATCGGTGTTATTTATTGCGCATCTACCGCTCAGTCGTGCGGTCTCGACTTGATTATGGCTGTATTGTGTACGGCTCCGCACGGGCATCGGTTCTCAAGATGCTCTACCCAATTCATCATCAGGGGCTCCGACTTTCCACTGGTGCTTTTCGCACATCTCCAATACTCAGCCTATATGTAGAGGCAAATGAGCCCTCACTGGAGAAAAGGAGGTTTGAATTAGGCTTCATGTATTCTCTGCGAATTAGGTCTGTTCCTGGTCACCCGACCCTGGACTGCATAGAACAAGTACACTATGAGCAGACTTTCATAAACAAGCCTTCATTTGTTCCACCTCTCGCCATGAGAATTCGTTCTTCTGCTGAATCCGTAGGGCGCTGGATGTGCTACCCTCACTTGTGCAGCGGTTGAACTCAGTAGCTACTTGGGACCTCAAGCCCTTCCGCTGTGAGTTGAAACTAACAAAATACAACAAGAAAGAAACCCCTAATGAAGTTCTGAGACAAGAATGTTTCGAACTCCAGGACCAGTACCGAGACTTCACAAGTTTCTACACTGATGGGAGCAAAACTGATTCCTATGTAGGCTGCTCAGTGGTAGGGCCTTCCGTGAAGTGTGTCCAGAGAATTAACAATAATGCCTGTATTCCTTCCGCAGAGCTTTATGGCTTACTCCTTGCCATAGACCACATTCTTAATAAAGAGGATCCGTATGTCAATTGTTTATACTAACTCACTTAGTGCTTTACGAGCTCTGGACACAACGGGGGATGTTCAAAATCCACTTGTTCTAGAAATAAGGAACCGGTTACTTTCAGCATCAAAAAGAAAGAAAGAAATAACATTATGCTGGGTACCTTCCCATGTAGGAATTCTTGGGAATGAGGATGCTGACCGTGCAGCGAGCAATGCTAAAGGTCTACAAGTGGATCTGCACAAGATACCCTACAGAGATTATATACATGCCCTGAAAAAATCTACAAAGTGCAAGTGGCAAGAGGAGTGGAACCAAGAAATTAACAATGAGTTACGAGCCGTAAAACCTTTAATTCAAGAATGGGAGAGTGCACGTCATCGTGAGCGATTTTATGAGGTGGTATTATGTCGATTCCGAATCGGTCACACACGTCTTACCCATGCGCCCCTTTTGCGAGGTGAGGATGCTCCGCAGTATGAACACTGCCACATACCATTAAGCATCCTGCACATTTTACTTGTATGCCCATTGTATGAACACCAGAGATATTTTGCTAAGGTTTACCAAGAGCATACACCATTACATCTCGCCCTTTTACTCAGCGATGAGCCGTTGATTCCACACAATTGTGTATTCAATTTTCTTAAGGATATAAGACTCCTGAACCAGCTATAATTTTAATAGTTTGTCGTATTCATTGCCACATCTTATGCGCTTGTACTTTCATGATCATTGTTTTATTCAATTAGAAGCTACTATAGCTCTTTCTTCTCTTTAACCTTGATTTCAGCAATAGTCCTAGTTGTTGGCGCATTATAGCCTTGGTCGCTGCTGCGCCATTAAACCCCAATCAACCAATCTGCCGATTTTCTATGACTGGTCACTCGCAAAATACAGTAAGAGGGTGATTTAACCACAAATCCTCCGGCAGGAGTTCCTCTCCTTGCAACAAAAATATGCAGACTACCTGCAGTTTTATACAGATGGGTCCAAATCGTCGTCTTTTGTATAGGGTGTGCTTTCTATTCCGCCTCCTACAGCAAAGCCGCACAAGTTGACTGTCGGGCAAGCATTTTCACCGCAGAGCTTTATGCTATTTTACTAGCGATCGAACATATACTCGACAATAGTATAATGAAAGCTGTAATTTTTGTCGACTCACAAAGTGCCTTATTGGCTGTGTCCTCCCTGATGCCCACAAAGAACCGCCTTGCACAACATCTACATGGTAAGATCAATAGCGCACTGCGACGCGGTCGGGACATTAGATTCTGCTGGGTACCAAGCCACGTTGGTATTTTGGGCAATAAAGAGGTGGATAAATTGGCCGTGTCTGCCCGAGGCTCATCTATAACATTCAATTGCTTACCCTACCAAGATTTGAAACCGCTTCTGAGGAAATCTATTTTTCTCAAATGGCAGCTGGAATGGGATACAGAGAGCAACAATAAACTTCACATTATCAAGCCCATTCTGGGCGTTTGGGAAAGCTCATATAACAGGGAACGTCGTGTGGAGGTTCTTCTGTGCCGTCTGAGAGTAGGTCACACCCGCGTGACACATCAGTATCTGCTTCATGGTGAAGATGTTGCACTATGTGAACATTGTGGAGAGCTTCTGACCGTGTTGCATATTTTGTGGCATTGTTCGTCCCATCAACCACTCCGTCAATCATGTTTTCTCGAACTTTTTAGGGATCATCTCCCATTTCATCCCTCTTTTTTGCTTGGTGATAAACCTTTAGTTCCATTCAGCCGTATCTTAGACTTTTTGAAACAAACTGGATATATTTACCATTTGTAAATATGTAGCCTCAAAATAAACTTTTGTTATAGTAAGCTCTAAATACGTTAAGTTTGGCGCATTATGGCCCTCGTTGGTGCTGTGCCAATAAACTCCTAATCATCATCATCATACTTTGAAATGCTATAACCCTCCTCAACACAGGATCCCCTACACACATAAGCGTCGCGCATAGATCATCATCAGCTATCGACCTCAGTCTTTGCTCCTCAACTATATACATGGATTTTTCCTGGAAAGCAAAGACGAATCCATTAGGAAGCAATCATTTTCCTATTATTCTCGAAGCTGTGAACCCCATACCGTGTGTACGAACCCGTACCCCGAAGGAAAAATCCATCAATGTAACCCTGCTTGGCAGTCAATGTTTTCTAGTGGACCGCTGACTGTGCCTAACTGTACGTCAAACATGTCTGATTGGCCAACAAGTTACTCTGACCGACAGTCAAACTCCAGTCAGACTCCACTTGTCGGCTTTCTGATGGTTTCCTGGTGGCAGTCGGCCGCCGCGAAATGCCATCAAGATGTCTTGGTGGCGATTCTGATTGTACATCGATTGGCTCTGACTGTACGGCAAAAAGCTTTGACGTGCAGACAGACATACGGTCAAAGGACGTAAAGTTCGTTCGGATACCACTATTTCGTAAAATCTATGAATACGAAAAATAGACTATGCACAAGAAAACGACTTCAGGACGTGAGCCCATAAAACCGCTGATGTTAGAGATATGACACGCAGCCGACCGACAACATTGATCAGAAGCCCGCCGGAACGCCGAAAACGCCACTTCGCTGACTTCGGCTTCGCCGAGCTTTCATGAACGATCGCTCTCGACTTGTTTTGTTTGCCCGCTTGCTCCAACCTGTCGATCCTGCCCGGGCTGTACAGTGTTTTATGTTTAAGTAGAATTTCTACTCGACAAGACCCAGCCTGTTGTGAGCTCCGACGATGTAAGGGACTTTAGCGGTGTAGTTGAAGACGACAAGGTGTACCAGGTCTACTGGGCCGGAGACGCGCGAACAAAAGGATCGTTCTACGGCGCGAAAGTACTCTACATGGCAGGTGAGTAGAACTGAAGTACGGCGAGTGATGTACGAGTGCTTTGCATAACATGCCGAAGTCTTAACTGCATTTGCAACCGAAGCATCTCGTATAAAACGGATGGTGAACTCGAGTTCTCTAAGAAACTGCGTAGCATAGCGGTTATGATGTCCGATTTGTACGCAAGTGGTCGCGGGTTCGATCCGCGGTGGTCCTGCTTTTTTTTTTTCTTTTTTTTTTCTCGAACATTTTGTTTTATCGAGGCATTTGGCGATATTTATGAGTGCGTATAGCTTTACTCTTATATAAATGCCGCCCTTGTTGATGAAATTCCCTTGGCAGTGGCGGTCAGACGTCATCTGATGTCTGACGGTCCATCACGTTCCACCAAGGCTGCTGACTGGCAGTCAGTGTCCCAAATTTCGTACCTTGATGGAATTTTCAATAGGGACCCCCCTATGGATAACTGAAAAGGCGGATTGGGGAAAATTCGCCGAGCTTGCAACTATACCCGAGCATGCCTTCTCAGACCTGTCGGTAGATGATGTCACAGAAGCAATTACTGCTCTTATTCTGGACGCTGCAAATAGATGCATTCCTAAAACCTCAGAGAGATTTCCAGTTCTTCCTAAACCATGGTGGAATGAAGACTGCAAAAGCTCTGGCAGCTCAGAATAAGGCTTGGACAATCTTCTCAAGATACCCCACAACCACCAACCTGATTGCTTTTAAGAAAGCGAAAGCTACTCGGCGCAGGATAACAAGAGAATCAAAGAAGAATTTCTGCAATAAATCCAAAGAGTCTATCACCCCTCAAACAAAACCCCGTGTTGTATGGAATAAGGTTAGGAAAATGTCGAAAAAATATACCTATCACCAGCTTTAGTGAACCACGGTTTAGGAGGTTTCAAGCTTGGAAGAACAGGCGGACCTGTTCGGAGCTGTTTTTGCTGAAATTTCGAGCTCCATTAACTGTACAACCGAGTTTCTAAAGTACAAAATAGTGTAAGAAAAACGAAAGCTTCATATAAAATTAGATCACTCTGCTTCTTATAACAAGAGTTTTACTTACATCGAACTTGAGAGGGCCCTAGAAGGAAGAAAAGATACAGCAGTTGGACCAGATAACATTCATTACTCCATCATATGGAACCTTAAGCCAGAATAAAAAACAAATCCCTGCTATGCTTCTTCAACCGATTGTGGCATGAAGGAGAATTCCCGGAAACATGGAGAAAAGCAATTGTTATCCCTATTCTAAAGCAGGGAAAGGACCCCTCATGCGCGAAAAACTACCGACCTATCGCATTAACAATCTGTTTATGTAAAGTTCTAGAAAGAATGGTAAAGAACCGTCTCATGTGGTATCTTGAAGTCAACAACATCCTCAGTCCATCGCAGTGCGGGTTTAGAAGAAATCGTTGCACGACCGATCACTTGGATGCGAAATGCTTTTGTCAATCGTCAGCAATTGGTCTCGATCTTCTTTGACCTCTAAAAGGCGTACGACACTACCTGGCGATACGAAATTTTACAGGACCTCATCAGCCATGACATTCAAGGAAACCTTTTAATTTTTATAAAAAAACTTTTTAGATCGCCGTACTTTTCAAGTTAAGAGAGGTGTTAGAGATATGACACGCTCACAAGCATTTCCACAAGAAATGGGAGTTCCACAAGGCTGTGTTTTAAGTATTGCGCTGTTTTTCATCAAAGTTAATTCCGCAGTCAAACAGCTACCGGCTTCTCTTTTTTATTGTGTGTATGTCGACGACCTGCAAGTTTCTTGCCAGGGATCCCAATTACCATCAGTTACACGGCAATTGCAACTCGGGCTCAATAAGCAGACTGAGTGGAGTAACACAAATGGTTTAAAGTTTTCAACGGAAAAGACCGTGGCAGCGCACGTCACACAGCGACGAGGGCTGTTCCCGGGACCAGAACTAAAACTTTATAGAAAAACCCTACCTGTTAAGAAAAGCCATAAATTTTTAAGTGTCATCTTTGACAGCAAACTAACATTCCAACCCCACATTTTAGACCTTCGAAACAGGTATACCCCTACTGGAAAAAAACATTTGAAATTCAAACGGGTGGCAAATTGGTAAATCAAACGGGTGCAAACTCTTCGACCCGTTTGGATCAAACGTGATTATGGGATACGGGTAGCCGTTTGAAACGGTACCCGCTCGAAACGGTACCCATTTGATACAGGTGCCCGTTCGACCTTGCACGTGACCACACGTTTGAACGTGCCATTCGAATCGGGAAATTATGCGCTACCCCTAAACGGGAATCGTCTGGTAGGTTGGTTATCTTAAACTTATTTAAGACGTTCCGAAACTCATAAATTTATTTATAACATGGAAGAAACACGTAGAACAAATGTGCTCACGTAGGTGCTTGCAAATGGACCGGAAAACAGACACAAAAGATTGTTTTCAACTCCTCAAAGTTTATTACGTCTTCTGTAGAGAAGTACAAACGTGCAAGCGACCTGTGAAATGTGAAAGGCACTGTAAGCTTTTATACAACTGAGAAGATAGCAAACCAAACAAGAACCGAGGTAATTCTAGACGATGAAGGTAGACTTTCGGGAAATTATTCGCCCGGCTGCCGCGAGAAAAGTGGCTGCATAATTATATAGGGGTGATTTCATTTGAATTCGACCAAACTTGTCGGGGGGGGGGGGGGGGGTCTTTAGATTTAATCGTAAAAATATATATGATACCCGAATCCTTGTGATGAAAGAAACTGCATTTGAAAAAAATTAGAATTGTATAGTTTGAGAGAAAAAAATTCTGAGGCGCTGCAGGGTAGAACACGTCAAATTCCCAATTTGATTTTATCTCGACTTTAGCCGCCATTTACAAAATATCGAATTCTTGCAGAATTATTAAATTTATTACGCAATATTTACGCAGACTTGGTTATTTTTAGAGGTAAATTTCTGTCTTCTGTTATTTTAAATTAATTTTCTAAAAAATCTCAAACATGCAACCTAGAGCAAGTGTGACGCAACTTCGGACAGCTATATAAAACGAACGGTAGGGCGCAATGACGTGAGACAGATATCTGTGCGTAGCTATCAATGTAAGCTATCGATTGACATGTATTTTCTGGTTATTGTGTTTACCGTGTTGTTTTTATTCTGCCACAAATATAGACAAAAATGAAAAATATGCAAATTTTGAAGTCAATTTTCTCAAAAAAGCCATTTTTTATTTCGTTCATACTTTTTTAATTTATTGCCCAGTATTTGTCCAAATATGTGACCGTTATGGCTCATACGGGCGACCCCTTTGAGCCATACGGGCGACCCCTTTGACAAACTGGTGACCGGTATGGTTAAACTGTTACCGGTATGGACCCGTTTATTTTCATATAGGCGCCAAATGGTTTTTTCAGTAGGGTATTTAAAAATATGAATATTCTGAAAGTTCTTAGTGGCAACGTACAGGGATCATCACCAACATGACGAAAATAATCCCTGGAGAAGGGGAACAAGAGGGACAAAGGACAAACATAAATCTCCAAACACAGCTAGGTGACTGGTGAGCGACCGAAAAAATCCGCCTGGTCCGGGTATCGAACCCGGGACCTCTCCATTACAGGTGGAGCGCTCTACCAATTGAGCTAACCAATTGAGCTAACCTTTGCATTTAATTGCATTATAATCATAACCTTAAAATTGCAAGCTTCACCCTTGTTGGTGTTAGACTGGTGGCGGCTGATAAAACCCGTTTGCTCTACTGATGTCTAACCCCTGGTTAGCTCAATTTGGTAGAGCGCTCCACCTGTAATGGAGAGGTCCCGGGTTCGATACCCGGACCAGGCGGATTTTTTCGGTCGCTCACCAGTCACCTAGCTGTGTTTGGAGATTTATGTTTGTCCTTTGTCCCTCTTGTTCCCCTTCTCCAGGGATTATTTTCGTCATTCTTGTCCAGCTCGCTTGCAC